CGGTGTGCGGATGTGGTTCAGCCACGCCCAGCCTCTGGCCCAACCAACGCCTTCTCAATAAAACGCAATGCATTACTGTAATTTGCATTTAAAATGCGCCATTATTAGACAAAATGCATGACAAGTGATTCAATTAGCACAGCTCGAACAACAATTGATGAGTGTATGTGTGTGTGTGTGCGTGTGTGCCTCTGTTTCTCTACGGTATTATGGAGCACTGTCAACTGACATGCAGCTGTTGCATTAAAGTCAATCGCAGCCGGATAACGCGCGGCGACTTTTTAATGATTTTCCCATTTCGATTTCGATTTTCATTTGAATTTCCATTTGGATTTCCATTTGCATTTCCTGTGCGCCAGCATTTGTGGCAGCGCTTTCACCATGCAAGCACTTTAAGCCCTTCGGCTACAATCAATTTAATATTTCAAATAAATCCCATGGCAACCATTGCAAGATACTCGCTAAAAATAGTTAAAGTAAACTTTTTATTGTCTCTAATGGATATAGAGTATATGTTAAGCAATGAATCTATAAGAGATTTTAGATTTAGGGATTGCTATTATTATGTAAAAGATATAAATGTTGTCTACTTTTCCATATCTAGAGTAAAAAATATGGATCTTATAGTTATTCATTGGAATGTATCTAGCAAGTTATGTATAAGTAGACTATGGAGCATATTCTCGATTCTCAATTGAGACTCGAGTTTCAATAGTCCCATATAGTTGATTCTTCTGTAGAGTTGGGATAAACATGAAACTTCTCTAACTAAAAGCTAGACTAAAAAATAATTATTCATTATTATACAGTCGATTCTCAATAATTCGTACCTCGCTAAATAAAAAATCGCGATAAATCGAAAACAAATTCTATGCCCTTAAAGAAATTCATTCTCACTAATTCTCGATAGTTTGAATTTCTGTGTAAATCGAAAAAGAATGAATCCTTTACCATTTCGAATTATCGGGATTCTACTGGGGAGTTGCTACGCCTCTTGCCTGCTTCTCACGCTCCAGCTGGGAGTGCTGAAAGAAATTCCAGCTACCACTCGAATACTATGTATGCAAATATATAAAATACATATTGTATCTATATTACGATAATTCATATTCATCCAGTAACACATTACACAAAAACCTATATACTCTACTCACACTTTGAGCGTGTATAAAAATATTTATTAAATATTCAAGCCGTTCAGCATGGCACAGGTGCATGTGCATGCTTTGTGTGTGTGTGTGTGTGTGTGTGCCTCTCTGTGCATTTCTACCTTTTGACTGTTGCACGTTTAGCGCGGATTTTATTTTCAAATAAAATATCAAATTGTTGAAAAATTTCGAAAAAATTCAAATGGGTACGGGAAAATAAAGAAAAATGTTGCACAATTTGTGGAAATGATACTTGAATTTTGTCTATTAATTAACAATTCCATTAGATCCTTTGGTATCGACTCGCCAAATTGGGCTTTAATTAAATTGTGCATAATTATTGTTAAGTACATGCACACACACACACAGGCGTGCGTAATCAGCTTTTCAATGTAATTAATGAGTTTCTAGTTGAAAATAAATTTGCCTGTAATAATGACAGTGCGTGGACAGTGTGTGGGGATCTCTCTATCTACCTATCTCTCTATCTGCCTCTCTCGGTCTCTCTCTCTCTTTCTCTCTTTCTCTCTCTCTCTCTTTGTGTGTGTGTGAAGCGTGAAACATGTGCCTGGCATTTTACAAAATTTCCACAAACACAGACATTACGCACACACACACACCACACACACCACACACACTCACACACACACGCACAGACTTGACAGCTGGCAACAGAGCTCATTAAATGCTTTACATGTGCTCATTTTAGCTACGCCAAGAGAGCTCCCCCAACACATACGCACCCCCTCTCGCTCCGTTGCTCATTCCCCTCCTGCTTCTTCTATCTTTTTCCGCTCAACTTTCGCATTTCCCGCGCTCACACATACACCCTATATCGCTCCCTCTCTTTCTCTCTCTCTCCTTGTGTAATTTGATGCTTCGTCTACGCACAAAAGTCAAGAGCGGGCAACAGTTTTCCATGAAAATCTTTAATTTACGCAAATTTAACGCGCATATGTTTATGTGTGTGCATGTGTGTGTGTGTGTGTGTATCTATATATATATACACATACTTATGCGCCAGTGCGTCTCATCAATTTACCATTGACAGTCACAAAAAGTCGATTTACAATTGCATTTTGTACTGAGGAGCGTAAACAAATTTTTCTATAAATATGCATACCTGTCGACTTAATGAGCCGCTGTGGAAAATCCTCAAAGGAAAACGGCACAAGTCCAGCTGGAAAAGTGAAAGAAATGTGAAAAGTTTGCAGGAATGCCAAAAAAAAAGAAAAAATCAGAAAAATGTGCAAAGAATTGCAAACTTAATTAACTGAAATTTTATTGTGCGAAATTTCGCAATTAATGAAAATATTTGCGACTGGTATTTGAGAGATTTCCATTGCATGTGAAAAATGGGTAGGGAAATGCTTAACCAAAGAAATACTTTACGTAAAATAGGTATTCAAAAAGAACATAGTTGATGTTCCATTAAAAGAAAAACAACTCGAACGCTTAATAAAGTTGGGAAAAAGGAAATACAGCATAGCTGATACTTGTACTCATTCAGAGAGTAAAAGGGGTATATTGGTTTTATACAAGGTATTTAAAAATATGAAATATAATCGTAAATTGAACTAACTTTTATATAAAGACATATTCTTAGTGCTGTAACAAATTGAAAATCTGATATTACAGCTTTGCAGTAAAAGAACTGAAAACTTCTTTAGGATCTCTTCAGACTTCAACCCACTTATTTCCTTATTTTCAGATCGTAAAAACAAAAAACAATGTATCATGTAGTCTGAGACGCTCATCAACTGAAATCTTTCTTGTTATTTTCCTCTACATACTTACTTAAGCTCTCGCTATCTGCAGGGCATACAGTATTCCAAGTGGTAGCGGCTCGAAAAGCCTAACGGCATTTCGTAGTCGCCATAATTAGTCTTTAAGTTGATTTCGCGCTTCACAGCGACGCACAAAGCCCAAGCGGATAAGACCAAAACAATATCAATTCAGCGTGTAAATCGCTGTCAGGACTTAAGTTCCAACTTTTGAGCTGGCATTAAACAGCGAGGAGAGGGAGAGCGAGAGAGAGACAGAGAGAGAGAGATAGGGACAGACAGAGTAAATGAGATAACAAGTAAGAGTATTAACTACTTAAAGCAAAGCCAAACAATTTTCATCAATATTCAATGCGGTTCAATGCGATGTGTGTGAGTGTGTGTGTGTGAGAGTGTGTATGTGTGTGTGTGTTTTCTGTCAGCGGTTGCCACATGAAATGTTTTTCTTTTGCTTTGTCCACGTCCAGAGCTTATGTCCGGAATGGGCCATGATTAATGAACTAGATAAATGATATGAGACCAAAACAAAGAGCAACCGATACAAAGAGAGCCAGAAATTGATAGAGAGAGAGAGAGAGAGAGAGCGAGATACACACTGAGGGAGAGCACAATAAGACGAAAAAAAAAGCTCGCTTCCTTATCTTATCAAGCATTTCAATGCAACACACCTGAACGGAACACAACACATGACTAACTGCCCGAGTGAGTGCGTTGAATCGAATGGAATGAGTGCCAGGTGAATGTTCAGCATATGTTCAACTGAATGGGGGCTAATGTTAGGGAAATTTATTGACAAACTAACCGGAGGTACGAGAGATGGCCAAAGAATGACGTCACAATTGCAAACAATATGGAAGTGTAAGCAAAGAAAGGCGAATGGGAAGTGCAAAAGGGGAAACAATTAAAATCGTATAAAATATCTTTCAAAAATGAACATGAATATGCAAAGGATAATAATAATTATAATAAATATAAGCACAGTAAAAATAAGAATAATTAAAAATTAAAATGATGCGAGTTATAATGAATTTAAAAGTAAATAATAAATAATAAGTAAATATATCAATAATAATGAGAAGACTGAGAATCGTATGAATAATCATGAAGATAATAATAATAAATATGGTATGATAACAATGCATTCCCAAGTTATTTAAGCAATGAGCATTACAATGAGAATCTCATGAATAATGCAGTAGGTAATAATAATAATAATGAGGCTAATAACACATCTCACAGCAATGAGCGCAATGAAGAATATGATGTAAATTGATTGAGAATATTGTTGATGACAATGATAATGAGATAATGATTGGTTGATTGTAATTTGCATAATTTTTGTCATTAAAATTAATTTTAAATGGATAGTTATAATGAGCATGAATAAAATGTTCGCAATGATAATGCCAATAATGATTATAATGTTAATAAAAATTATATTCATATACAATAGGATAATGATGCAACTATAAAAAGTATTACTAATGCTAATAGTCATTATACAGGCAATTGTAATATTATGGATAGCATAATTATTTAAATTAATTATATATATTGCCCATAAGACTCTCACTAAAACTGGTCTATATTTAGCTAGCTGACTGCCTCTCCTTCTCTATCTCTCCTTATCACTCTCTCTCTCAGTAGCTTTCTATCTCTCTCTCCGTCTCTACTTCTCTATGTCTATGTCTCCTTCTCTCTCTCTTCTTCTCCATCTCTGTCTCTTTCTCTTGCTCTCTCTCCCTCTCTATTTCTCTATGCCTATCTTTCCCTCTTGCTCTCTCTCCCTCTCTTCTTATCCCTCTGTCTCTCTCTCTCCCTCTCCCAGTCGAATCTTGGACTTTTCCCTATTAATAATATCACTAATTAACTAGTTCACACCTATGCATTGATATTATTCATGGGCAATCGCAACATGCAAACCTCTCCCTCTGCTTTCCCATTGGACTTTCAGCGCTTTGCTGCTGGCTCCACTGCAAAGTCGCAGAGCTTTCCAACGCCCTAGCGATAAGATAAAGCTCTTGTTTCTTATCGACTGGCCGTGAGTGTCGCAGCAAAAGAATTCGATAGCTAATTGTTGGCAGTAGTTCGGTTAAACGTAAACCCTGCATGACGAAGCCGCTAACGTTGAGAATGACGAAGAGATCGCATTTTGCTCTCAGTTGTATAGCGATCTGCCTGCTGCTCTTGGTGAGCTGCAGCCAGAGCGAACTCATCGATGCCAACGATGAGGATGTGGATCGCTTTTGCTATCCGGCCGCACACAAGAACAGTCGGCTGAGCTGCGAGTGCAGCAATGTGAGTGCCTCGCCCTGGGGCATGCGGGCGCTGCACATCGATTGCAGCTACAAGGACTTCCAGGCGGAGGATCTGACGGCGCTGCTGCCGCTCTACATCGACACGTTGGATCTGTCCTGGAACAAGCTGAATCGTGCGCCCGTCTTCAACAGCGACAGCCTGCGCATGCTCAATCTGATGCACAACAACATCAGCAGCATCTCCGCCAGCAATTTCGCTCGCATCGTCAGCCTGAAGGAGCTCTATCTGGGCTGGAACAGCATCCAGCTGCTGGAGCCGCAGGCCTTTGCCGGCTTGCCCCATCTGCAGGTGCTGAACCTGGCCCACAACAATCTGCACGCGCTGCCCGCCCAGATCTTTGCCCCACTGCAGGTGCTCCAGACACTGGAACTCTCCTGGAACAGGCAGCTCAATCAGACCAATGGACTGGAGCTCTACGGCAGCTATGGCATCAATCCCAAGCTGAACGCACTGCGTCTGGATGCCTGCGGCTTGAGTGAGCTGAGGCTGCCGATCGATGCGCCTCTGCGTGAGCTGTCGCTGCGTCGCAATCTGTTCGTGCGTGTGCCCAGCCAGCTGCCCAGGCAACTGCAGCTCCTGGACATCAGCGAGAATCTGCTGGAGCAGCTGCTGCCGGTGGATGCGGCCAATCTTAGCCAGCTGCAGCAGCTCTATGTGGAGGATATGCCGCTGCTGCAGGGCATCGCCGCCCACGCGTTCGCCCAGCTGCATCAGGTGCACTCCATGAGCTTCCAGAACTGTCGCCGCCTCAGCTGGCTGGACGGCGACGCCTTCGTTCCCGCCGAGGGCAATGTGACCTTGCCGCCGCTGAGCACGCTCAGCTTTCGTGGCACTATGCTGCGCAATTTCAATGTCAGCCTGTCGCCGGTTTTTGGCAAACTCGCCCAACTGGATCTCAACGGTGTGCCGCTTCACTGCGACTGCCAGCTGGTCTGGCTGAAGGATCTGGCCATCCAGACGAACGGACGCTGCCTGCGCCCGGCCAGAGTCCGGGGCCTGCTCGTCTCCTCGGTGCGACGCGACGAGTTCAGCTGCGAGAGATGGCCCCGATGGGCATACGGCTTGATTATACTCGCTCTCATCGCCCTCTGTGCCGCGGGCGTCTATCTGATTGTGATGGGACTGCGACCGCATCGGGGTGTCACCATGCGCCGCAAAGTGGGCGCCGGCAGTCCCTATGCTCGGGTCACCATCGAACCCAATCGCCAGGAGAACTTTCACTGAGCAAGATAGCCTAGTTGCAGTCTAGACTAAGCCCCTGACTAACTAACTTAAGTCTGTGTTACAGTTTTTCTACAAAAAATACATATATACCTACATATATAGAGTAAATAAAAACTTAATTATATTTATGTTTGCTTATACGTATTACTTTTTATAGCACCAGGTGGTTACCCATTGAGAGCTGCGCGGGCTGTTCAAGAAGTTTGCAGAAGCTACGTTCACTACAGCAGCGGTTGCTAGTGGAGCTCTCTTTAACAGTGCACGACTATGTTAATTAACAGCGCTGAGCTAGTGAAGCTTTCTCTAACAGTTGACGACTATTTTAATTAACAGCACTAAGCTGTTGTGCTCAAGAGCTATCAATAACAGTAAGCTCTGTTAACTAACAGTGACTTGACTTAAAAGTATTTACAGAATAATTATAATTATATTTTCACAATCTCTAAAACGAATGAATGGTTCGAATTTTTTCATTTTTTTTTTTTTTTTTTTTTTTTTTTTTTGATAAAAATTAATAAATTATAGATTATAAATTAATTAATTATCGATTACCAATTATCAAGGGATTGTATTGTATTTAACTGCTGATATTTTATATGTTTTAAATTTATGCTCAAATTCATAATTCATTGAAAAGAAACTCTATTGGGGTTTGCTGCTACTACGTCTCTTTCAGGCCACCCTCTATAAATATATTAAAAACCAGCTTATCTATGCCATAGGCTTATCGAGGCAGCCGATGAGTGTTGGCTATTTGATAATGATTATGAATTCTTTGATTCTGAGTTCCTAAAGTAAACAATATGGTAAACTTTTGGAGTGCAAAGAGAGAAATGAACAAAAAATGAGAATAAAAAGCTCACATTAATAAATACTAAATATATGCTAAAAATATACTAATAATTGATATAGATGTACACAGAGAAAATTTGTGACTATAATCTAAAAATACTATGCAAAAAAATAAAACAAAATATTAAATAAAATTATAATAATTTTTCCTAAAATAATTCCAGTCAAAATTATGTTATATTTAAAGAAAACTTCTAGAAATCCAACTCAAATGTAAACAACAGAATATGTTAACCAAGTTTAACATAATGTTTATAACAACTTCAGGAGTGCGCCGTGTGAAGGCCTCTGTGTCTGCCCGTAACATCATTCTCCTCACTAGCATAGCTAATGGAATTATTGCCAAATAACTGTGGACCAAATCAATTCGATTATATGCATAAATAGAAACGAATTCAGCTGGAATTGTGTTAATGTGAGCTAAGACAATGTCGAGTCGATATCTGTTGCTGTTGCTGTTTGGTTGTGCTGGGATCCTTGGCTATGCCAACGCCAGAAAATGCAAGTTAAAGGATCCACTCCCATATGAGGCGGCCGACTACTGCAAGGCATCGGAACTGCACTTGGGCTGCAATCACAATCAGGTGAATCAGATCAGGTTTATCGAACTGAAATAGCAACAAACATCCTTCGATTTACAGAAATTTGGCGGCCATTGCCAGGCGACGGCCAAGCTGCTCGAGATTGAGCCGCAGTTGTCGAAGGCAATCGTGAGGCAAATGAATGTCTATCGCAATATCGTGGCAAAGGGCGGACTGCCCAACCTGGCGACAGCTGCGCTCATGAATAAACTGGCCTGGGATGCATCTTTGGCCGAATTGGCTGGCCTGGCGGCAATGCGCTGCTCCCTTGATCCGATCAAGCGAAGTTTCACAACCACGCTCGCCTCGAAGCCGGGCTACACGGCGATCCTCACCAAATATCCCAAGGGCCAGAAACAGACTGTTAACCAAATAATGCTCTCTCAACTAAAGACATTCTACAATCAGCACGTTCATATAACTCCGGCGAGTCTCCTGACCGGCGAAGGGCGAGGCGGGTGAGCATACTAAACAGCATTAATTTGAATTCGATTTACATTTTCCTGAATTTCATATTGTTGGCAGTCGGGATGTTTCACATTTCCTGCAACTTATAACCGGCATGAACTCTCGCGTGGGCTGTGGCATTGTCATCTTTGAGGAAAATAAATGGACGGTCCAGTTGATGATCTGTCTCTATGGCTGCAGCAAGCAGCCGAAATCGTTAACATATTCTATAGGGCATACGCCCAAAGTATCCTGCCTTTGCCCTGACACAGATAAGGAATTTAAAAACCTTTGCCCCTATACCAGTGTCCAGCAGGATTGCGGTCTATTAAATGAAGAAGGTGTTTCCACAACGCCTGGGCCAACATTGCAGCCTGTCGATAATATGTATTATTAATAGAGTTGTTCAGCTGTTGAGCGTCTTAGGCTCAAAGAGATCTAGGCTTTCACATATTACAGCAAACAAATAAAACAAAAAAACAAGGGGAAGTAGTTATCGATTTTTGGAAACAAAATCAAGTCTCCAATTCTTATATCTTCTGCAAACGTAGCAATGGATGGACAGAAAGACAGATAAACAGGGCTAAATCAAATATATATCGACTTTATGGGGCTTACCACGCAAATTCAATAAAACTTTTAATCGATAATAAAAAAAGAGAAGTAGTTATCGATTTTTGGAAACAAAATCAAGTGTCTAATTCTTCAAGCTTACGAATGGGCGAACAGAAAGACAGGCAAATGGAGCTAAATCAAGTATATACATATATACGTTATGGGGCTTGCCACGCAAATTCTTTAGAACTTGTAATCGATAAAAAAAAGGAAGCAGTTATCGAGTCTCTAGTTCTTATACCTTCTTCAAGCATACGAATGGATGGACAGAAAGACAGATGAACAGGGCTAAATCAATAATATATATACTATATAGGGTTTGCCACGCCTCCTTTTGCTTGTTACATACATCTAGCAAAAGCAGTGTGCCCCAATTTTCCATTTTCTATGAGTTCAATGGATATAAAAACTAAAGAATTCAAATGCCTCCACTTGTATCACAGTTGCTGTGGCGCCATCTATTGTTGAATTCGTTTATTCAAACTCTAAACTATTTCTACGAATTTGTCTTTATGTAAGCGTATAGCTAATCTATCAATATATTACTATTACCTATTTAGTTATTATTTGAATGTATTCCTAATTGTATGATTCTTGTTCATAAATAATCTGAATTTAATTTTCTTCGCTTACGTAATTGAATATTCATTTGATATTTATGCTCGAATTCAATTTGGCTTTGATGGCTTTTATGATGAATGTTGTAAATGTGTTGCTTGTTGACTGTGAAGTGTTTTTATCGATCGCCATTAATTGCGTAACTGGCATTCAGCATTAATAATTGAGGCACTCATTATTGTCATCGACATTTATTTATACGCATTCCCAAGTGTTTGGATGGCTCATAAATCTTTTCAGCCACATTCTCCAGTCTCAGGCAGTACTTCTGTCCGTCTGTCTGTCCGTCCACTTTTGTATTTATGGCCAAGAGTATTAAAAACTTTATTATTATTAATATTGCATTTCGAATCGCGCACAATTGACTGAACTCTGGCCCAACAAATTGTATTTGTTTACAGACCTCGCCTGAGCGCGATTCCTGAATCCAATTCAATTGATTCCCACATGCCGGCAGCCAAATATTTGTTAATCTCTGCAACTGCAGCTGCGTTTTCAATGGCAATCGGAGCATGCCACGCAGTGAAAGCAAAATATTATATTACATTTTATTTTTTCTTTCATTTTTTATTTTAAATATTAACTTTTTAAAAAGCAAAAATGAAATTGTAGTGAAAACATTTTTACTTCAATTAAATGCAAACTACATATTTACAAAAAGAAAATCAAAATGTAGTCATGATATTTGTACTTGAATGAAAAGCGAATCGTTTTCAGGTATTATTTAAAATTTATATAAAATTATAATGATAAAAATTATCATTTTTGTTTTAATTTTTTTATTATTGTTAGTTAAGAAATTGAAGCAAAAACTTAGAGAAAACAAATATATATATTATTTCCTTTTTTTAATTTATAATTTAATTTTTTAGTTTGTTAAACTAACTAAATATCTACATACTCATACTTAAACCCAAACTTTCAGTTCATTAAATAGAAATTGCCTAAAATAACTTTAACTAGGCAATAAATCAAGCAACTTTGAATAGCAAATATGCCTAAAGACTTTCGCAGGAGTAAACACGAAATATACATACAATATAGCTACGTCTGTACATATATATGTATATACATATATAAACATCATTTCGTCTTTCGACAGGGTTATTTGCTAATTAAATTAACGCCAAATAGCATTAAAATTCTTGAGCGTAATTAAAATTCACATCTTAAAGCTAAGACGTTACGTTGTTTGTTGCTGTTGTTGTTGTTGTTTGCTGCTTAAGGCAATGGGACTTAACTATAAGTAAATTTAGTGAGAGCTCTGTTCCCACTCCAATTGATGGGTATCTAGACGCGCGTCGAGCGAGTTGTTGTTGCTAAAACAATTGACATTTTAAATGTCAATTTTGATGCGTTTTTAAACCAAACACAATTCAAACTGAGCGCAAACTTCAACGACAGTTTTTACGACTGATGGCTGTCTGTCTGTCCGTGTGTGTGTGTGTGTATGTGACACAGTGCTTCAGCCTATTGCCTGTGTGTGTACGTTCGTGTAAGCATAAGCAGCCCTGGTTGTTTACTCCGAAATGGGCACAGTTTACAAGCAGAGCGTACAGTGGAACAAAAAAAGGACAAATCGATCAAAAACTTTGCTTAAATTTATATATGTAGGGTATGAAAGCCAGAAGATAACAAATTTATAATCAAAATGTCAATTTTTAGAGAGCATATAAACAAAACTAAATTGGAATTTGAAAAAATAAATTATTAAAAAATACATAAAAAATAAAATAAAATATATAATCATTTTATATATATTTCTGTTCAATTTTATAAAAAAAAAAAACTTTGTTGAAAATAAAAAAAAAATAAAATAATGAAAATATAATAATGAGAATGTTACATTTTACAGGGTATAAATAAAAATAATAAAAAAGCTTTTTAATCATTTTAAAGTAAACAATTTATAAAAATTTTTGTTGTATTTTAATTTTATTTTATAGGGCATACAAACAATTGATTTTCAAATACTCCCTTAGAAAAACTAAATATCACAAAATTACAGCTCAATTTACACCCTGTAAATCAACTGTTCAACTGGCATATTGGCAGCCCCACTCAACCCCCAATTTACAGGGTATTGGTAAATAAATCTTACATCATTAGTCTGCCTATTTTCTTTTAGTAATATTATCAATGGCTATATGGCCTACACTTGGCCCAACTAACCTAATACCCTGTCCACATATCAAGTGGCCTCTCTTTGTGATTCTCACGGGGCATGCGCAGGCCCAGGCTGTGCCAGTGCCCCAGTGCCACGAGTTGCATGCACCGAAACGAGACGTGTGACTCCGAAAAACTGTAAAGGAGGAATGTTGGCAGCAGCAGGAGCAGCAGCAGCAGCAGCAGCAGGAGCTGGAAGCAGCATCACATTCAGATTCATAATTTGCCACAATCAGTTGAAGGCAGCACGCCAAAGGCAACGCACGCTAACTCTTACGTCTCGCTTTACGTTACTAACGGTAGATTACGTTTCGACAGTGCTTACGTTTTCGTGTTCGTGTTCGTTTGTGTGTGTGTGTGTGTGCATGTGTGTGTGTGAGGTAAACGCATTAGCCATTAGGCGAGCGTGGTTAGCTTTAGGCCACGTTAATTGCGCACCTATCCCTTACACCCAAATACGCCCCCTCCCCCACTCCCGGTTCTGCCGCCCACACAATTAGCCAGACAATGAATTGGCTGTAAAGCCGCTTAGTATATTATTCATCTATAAATTATTATCGCTTAATGCCAATTGACAGCTGAGCCAGCATAAATAATAAATTACAAAAAAATAAGATAAATAAAAAATCAAAGTAAAAATATATATTAAAAATCCAGTTTTGCAGCGCTCAGAGCACTCCAGCAGCTCTGGCAGGTTCTTATCGTCAGCCTCAGGACGACGAAACAAAAAATGAAGCAATAAGAGACAATTCCCTGAAGCCGCTTGCTGGGGGATTCCCGCTTGGGGAACTCTTGTCAGTCCGTTTCAATTTATCAGCAAAAATATCTTAAAAAACATTCAGCCGAACATTATTAAAAATATATCAGCAAAAAGATTTAAGCCTTTAGTGGCTTTTTTTACATGCTCTGATTTTTCTGCTAAAGTGAAAGATTTCGTTAGCTAGACTAACTATTTGAATTAATGTAATTTAATATTGAAATAATTTTTTTTTTTTTTTTTTTTTTGGTTAATTTTTTAAAAAAAA